TGCAGGCATTGCATGACATGGGTGCATTTATCTACATGCAGGCAATACATGCATACACATAAAATAAAAATAATAAATATTTTTTTTTTAAAAATAGCTTCTATCCTCAAGAACTCACAGTCAAGGAAAAGGTTAAGTTGAGTAGATACTGATTGACATTTACAAAGCCAATTAAGACAGAATAACAGAGGCAGTTCTGAGAGGAGTTCTGACTTCTCCCCATATTTATTTTAGGGAACCCAAAGCTAGGCTTGTCTCTAACTTTCATAGCATGTGATGAGTAAATTCATTGCTGCCCTTGCTAAATGAAAGAATATAGACCTGGATAATCGTAAATAATGAAATAATCTCCAAAGTATAATTACTTATTTTGAGAAAATGTTATGTTTGTATAATTGACTGATATGTTTTACTAATGTCAATATTAAAAACAGTTTTCTTTGTAAATGTCAATAAAGGCAGCATTAAATGTTGTGGAGCTGGAATTAATTGTAGCAGTGGAAGGACATTTACATACAGTATGTTGGAGTCCCTGGGTTTGATACCCAGCACTACCAAAAGCAGAAATTCTGAACCTTGGGACAGCATGGCTAAGATTAGCTGTATGACATCATGGATGCGTACAAGAGGAAGTGATTTACTAAAGATTAAAAAGGATTTACTGGAGCTCAAGAGATGGCTCAGTAGTTAAGAGCACTTTGCAGAAGACTCAGATTCAGATCCCAACACCCACATGGTGTTTAACAATGCTCCCTAACTCTAGTTCCAGGGAATCTGATGCCTTTTTTTGGACTCTGCAGGCATTGCATAACACAGGTGTAATTACATATATGCAAACAAAACACTCATACACATAAAATTAAAATAAACAATTTTAAAAAAATGTAAAGGTTTATTGCTAACTGGGTCTGTCACTTAGCAAAAGTTCAGGGAGATCAAGGTGTGATCTAGAGGTTTCCCAAATGTCTATGCATGTGCATTGGTACCTTATCTTCCTGGATAGACCACTATACAAAAGATTCTGAATAATATTTCTTAATATATTGAATTA